AGAAATAGCGATCCGAATAGTAATAGAGGATAGACTAGAAACAAAGATCGTTAGTCGTCACGCAATTCCTATTATATTTCCTCTATGGTCACGTGGTCTAATTAATTCAATAATGGGATCGCCTGTGTTTGCTCATTGGCGATCTATGTTCAAACTCAAGTGTTGCACTTTATATCTATATAACACATTATCAAAATGTTAGCGTTCCACGCGTCTTCGAACAAAAGGTGAAGAAGGAAATTCCTATCAATATTAGAAAGGTTGTTAACAGTAGGTGGACTTATTTCAACTAAAAGTAGCAATAAGTGTTTGGTTATTGAATGACGAGAAGAAAACGGCTAATATTAGCAATACAATTGGAGATGAGGAGGATACTACAATGAAAGTCCTTTAGTTTTAAGGAATAAGACATACAAAATTATATTCACCTTAATATATATGTTGGTGTTTTAAAGCCTACAAAAGCAATAAAATTAAACTTTTCAAAGTATTCATGGCACCACATGGACAAAATTTCTACGTGAAGTTCTGGCACAAAGTCTAATAAAAGATTTAATAATCAGGTTTTAACACAAAGTTTAGTACAATTATAGATGAGGTCATGGCTCCAGTGTGGAGAATTATCTTATACATTAGGATATGCCAAATAAGGCCGCCTTCTTTGCTCAAGAACAAATAAAAAATAAAAGCAAACGAAGTAAAAATAATTAGGCACTGCCGGAAATCACTATTATTCGACAACGAAGACGTGCGGCTAAAAAGAAGAAGGAACGTTCGACGTTACAATGGGAAGTGTAGATGGAACAAAGTCTGCGAGCTTAAATAAGCGAAATAATCGAGAAAAATAATACAGGACTGTACAGGGACGGCGGTCTGATAATCAAATTATAACTGACAAAAAGTAAACAAAATCCGAAAAATAATCGTAAACATTTTCAAAAATATAGGATTCGACATAAACATGAAAAACAAATCTAAAAGTACTTTTCCTAGAGGTCAAACTCAGCCTAAAAAACCATGTAGAAAATCCAGCGACACACCACTTTACATATAACCATCTTCCAACCACTTTAAATACACACATCTTCTAACTACAAGCCAAATCAAGCAGATCCAACAATTCATCAGATAATAGAAGCAAGTATAGTAAATTATATATGAGGTCATGGAACCAAGTGTAGTAAATTACATTATCTTACACATTACGTTATAGATCACGGCACAAAGTGCAATATATTACATCATCCTTTAGGTCCTGACACTGAACCTATCACTAAAATTGTACAACAGGGATAGATCTTTTTCTTTTTGTGCTGTGTCCCTTCAGGACGTAGGCGATCATGAATCTCCACTTCTCCCTATCCTTTATAGTTCTCAATATGTTTTGTCCTTTTGCTACTTCCGCTAAACCCTGCTCTGTCATCCACTTGGTTAAGCCCGCTAGATATGTCACGCATTGCTTTCCCTTGTCTCGCTTCCCTCTATTCGCCCTGTGAGTATCAGATTCTCTAAGCTCTAAGACTTTCTCATTACGTGTCTATTGTGAGACCGGAAACTACCTACACAATAGACTCTTCCAAGCTTATATTAAGTAGGCGACATAGCACTCTAGAGAGTCACACAGAGTCACACTGAGCGACATAGAGTGATATAGAGAGTGTTATATACACTATCTCTGTAACCTGTTGTTAATATATCTTTCTTACATCTAATCCGTGTTCCGTGTTTTACTTCTGTGGTCCCAACTTTGGCCCCACATCAGAGTACCAGAAATGGCAGTTACCTCTTCCTGATGTTAAGTATAAGCTTCCTCTTTGCCTGCATCCTCTCCAAAACCTCATCGTTGCTCACATGTTCGGTTCATGATATCCTTAGCATCCTTCTGTAGAACCATACTTTTGTTGCCCCAAGTCTCGTCTTCATCTTTGAGGAAATTGTCCAGCATTCGTTGCCATAAAGGAGGACAGATATCACGTAACAGCTCAGTACTCTTTTCTTTGTTACCAACGAAATCCTCCTGTTTGTTAATACTCTGCCTAGCTCTTGGAATGCATCTTTGGCCATCCCAATATGTCTTCGGATCTCAGTGTCGCACTTACCGTCCTCTGTCAGAAAACTTCCCAGATATTTAAATTTCCGCACCTGCTTGTCATCAAATCGCATTTCGGGCTCACCTTTTTGACTGATGACTGTCTTCTTGTAGTTTATGCTTAGTCCCTTCGTCTCGCTCTCTTTCGCTACCTTCTTTTGAAGGATTTCATTAAAAAATAAAAAATGAATCTATAGCCTTGGATGGCAACTGGTCTAGGAGACGGACAACTCTGAATTCAAAACCCGGGGAGGGTCGTTTGGGGACCTTGTGGCACGTAGTGCATCAGGTCTCTATATTCGGCCCTTCAAAAATCGTTGATGGTCCTGCACGAAACCTTCACCACTATAATCAAATCTCATGTGCTGTTGTCGGACTGTCGGTTTCCTAGGAACTGATTTGCTTGACCCTCATACTTCGAATTCGACGGGAGAGTCGAATTATATATATATATATATATATATATATATATATATATATATATATATATATATATATATATATATAAGGTTGTAAATTGCTCTCAGTCTGTTATAGAACTCCTCTTAGGGTTTGGGAGATAGACCCTCATAACCATATATATTCTGAAACTAAATTACCCAGATAAGTATATTTCATTTTGATCCAAGGGTGTTCCGGGGAAGAAAATTATACATAGGGTTATGGTAGCACGTTTGGTAAATTGCTTTACACTTCAGTCAATGCCACCAAACCAATCAATAATTTAATACATGAATTGCGCTATGTATTTTAAATTACTTATATATTTGTTCTTGATAAAATTATACATAACCTCCCGGCAACCAAGTATAGTACATTGTATCGTACATTATATAATGGAACCAGGGCTATTAATAAAATTACACCTATGTTCATGGCACCAAGTCTCGTAAAAGTGAAGGCGTTTAGTCAAATAAAATAATGTTTAGTAGAATGAATTTTAACGAGATCATGTCAGAAGATGGCGAGGAAATCCACAGATGGTGTCACCACAGGAAATCTAATAAAACTTTTTACAACGTTTCACGTGTCATAAAGATCTAGACGTGATGTTATAATCAGATCGCCAGAAAAATGAAAGATGAGGTCACAACTTGAAATCTAGTTTTAAAAAAAATCAAAATTATAAAACTATTTACGAGTCACATCGAGAAAAAAAAATTTCATAGATGAGGTTGCGTAATTAAATCGCGGGAAAGATGTAAGATGAGGTCAGAAAAACAAATCTTTAAAAAAAAAATTATAAATTGAATCCCAGCACGAAATTTAGTGCAAAACTCGTAGCAGAATTTCTGAAAAGATATCTTCCTGACAAAGAATCATTTCTCAAATAAATATGAAAGTTGGTCATGAAATATTTTACTTATAAAACTATTTGTGGGGGTTATTTACTTGTGGTTCGTTAAGAAATGCTTTTATTCCCAGTTGTGAATTTATACTTGTTCTTCTCTTAGCCTGGCTGCTAACCAAAGCTAAAGATCCCAGTCTGAACTGATCGAGGAATTTAGACAGATTCACGCGTTTCCCGATGGTATTAGGATGATATAATCTGCTGGTAGATTCCGTTAATCTACCCGAACCTAACATGTTTCTGATATCGCCCTAAAAGATGGTGGACTTTTTTAGAAACACACACATACACATCGTACAGTACAACAGAAAAAGAAATATCATATGGTTTAAATCAACGTACAAAAAAGCGTAAAGACAAACGTAGGAAAATATATTTTCTTAAGCTCATAAACAAATACTTCCTACATATCAAGCCCTCTTCCCAAAATATTAAACAGAAACGGTAAAAATCGGCTAAAACAGAATCGAAAACATGGCTCAGTGTCTGATCTGCTCGAGGGGAAAGCACAGTCACGCCTTTTCCGAAGGCATTAAGATTAAATAAACTCAATTATATTAGACGTTAAGTAATTGCACCAAACCAATCATTAAATTATATGTGAGGTCATGGCAGTAAGTGCAGTAAATTACATTACATTTTGGTACGTGACACCAAACATATCACAAAAATTATATATGAGGCCATGACACCAAGTGTAGTAAATTCATTATACTTTGGTTCGTGATACCAAACTACTCACTAAAATTATATATGAGGTCATGGAACCATGTGTAGTAAATTACATTACACTTTACATAATGCCAAACGTAGAAAAAATATTTTCTATAACTCAGACATAAACACTTGCCGCTTACGGTATCAAGCAATCTTCCCGTGAAATTTAACAGTAAAAGTCGGCTATAGTTACACCAAGAATGAGACACAAAGTTTATTGCATCGTACATTATATAATGGAACGAGAGCAGCTCGAGGATAAGAGACAGACCCACGCTTTTCCCGATGGAACAGGAAACAAATAACAAAACTCCTCAACAGAAAAGTAATAATAAAAAACTGCACAAATCAAACTCACCTGTAACTGCAGAGCAAACAACGAAAGCCTTTTAAATGGCAATTGCTTGCAAAACAATATAATATACCACGCCACTGTAAAGTCAGCAGATAACGAAATGAATATGCATAGAAGGATTTTTGTTATTTGTATCATGTTTTCTGTGCAACCGTAGTCGATTTTACCGTGTTTCGGTTGAATACCTTGTGAAGCGTACTTTATGGGGTGGGTGTATGAGTTTAAGAAAATATTTTCATGTTTATGTCAAATCCTATATTTTTGAAAATTTTTATGATTATTTTTCGGATTTTGTTTACTTTTTGTCTGTTATAATTTGTTAGGATTATGAGACCGTCGTCCCTGTACAGTCCTATATTATTTTATCGGAGGGACCTTGAAACAGAGAAACTACGCACAAAAAAAAACATCCTTTCTTCTTCTTCTTCTTCTATTACTCCTCCTCCTCCTCCATCTAGTACACTTCGTCCTCTTTCTTCTTCTTCTAGCCTTAATTCTTCTTCTTCTGCCATTCCTCCTCCTCCTCCTTCTTCTTCTGCCATTCCTCCTCCTCCTCCTCCTTCTTCTTCTGCCATTCCTCCTCCTCCTTCTTCTTCTTCTTCTTCTTCTTCTTCTTCTTCCAGTCCTCCTCTTCATCTACTTCACTTCGTCCTATTTCTTCTTCTAGCACTAATTCTTCTTATTCTTCTTTTTCTTCTTTTTCTACTACTACTGCTACTTCATCATCATCATCATCATCATCATCATCATCTTCTTCTTCTTCTTCTTACATTCCTTCTCCTCCTTCATCTAGTCCACATCACCATCTTATTCTTCTAGCCCTAATTCTTCTTCTTCTTCTTCTTCTTCTTCTTCTTCTTCTTCTTCTTCTTCTTCTTCCTCTTCTTCCAGTCCTCCTCCTCCTTCATCTAGTTTACTTTGTCCTCTTTCTTCTTCTTCTAGCCCTAATTCTTCTTCTTCTTCTTCTTCTTCTTCTTCTTCTTTCGCCCTTAGACGCGGAAGGAGTCGTTAGGGCTGCGACGTACTCAACTCTCCACTATTCTCCCCCATCTGTCCCCGGTCATGAGGCCAAAGCCTGAATCTCCACGAATAGTTTCATGCTATGTTTAGATAATTGGCATAAATGGGTATTTTACCAAATTGGCGGTGCCATCCATCCTTTAAATGCAGTAAATATGCGAACAGCACGACCATTTCTAAACATTTATGGGAAATTAAAAACATAAACGACGTCAAAAAATATCAATGAAAACAGTGAAAACATCATATATCCAAAACTATAAACGCTGTATGGAGGAGATAAATGTTATAACCAGAGTCTTCTGCGCATGCCTAAAAGCACAATCTTTCATTCAAAACCGATCCATCGGGAGTAAAACAGAATAAACTGAGATCACTAGTCTTGGTTGGCCACCAATGTAGGAGGAGAAGGGGAAGAACATTGCATTCCAAACATTTTGGGTCTTGGGGTAGCAGAGCAGAGTCGGATAGGTAGCCCTGAAATAAAGCAGTCTAGGAGGAGGAGAACATTGCATTCGAAACAGTTTGGGTTTTGGAGTAGCAGAGCAGATTCGGTTAAGTAGCCCTGTTTGGAAACCAGTCTAGGAGGAGAAGAAGGAGAACATTGCATCCGAAAAAAGTTTGGGTCCTAGGGTAGCAGAGCAGATTCGCCTACGTAGCCTTGTTTGGCAACCAGTCTAGGAGTATGAGAACATTGCATTAGAAACATGTTGGGTTTTGGGGTAGTAGAGCAGATTCGGATATGTAGCCTTGTTTGGCAACCAGTCTAGGAGGAAAAGAGGGAGAACATTGCATTAGAAACATGTTGGGTTTTGGGGTAGTAGAGCAGATTCGGATATGTAGCCTTGTTTGGCAACCAGTCTAGGAGGAGAAGAGGGAGAACATTGCATTCGAAACGATTTGGGTCCTGTGGTAGCACTGCAGTTTCGGCTACGTCGCCTTGTTTGTCAACCAGCCTAGGAGGAGAAGTTGCATTCGAAACAGTATGGGTCTTGGTGTAGCAGAGAAGATTCGGCTATGTACCCTTGTTTGGCGACCAGTCTAGGAGGAGGAAAACATTGCATTCGAAACAGTTTGGGTCCTGGGGTAGCAGAGAAGCTTCGTCTATGTCGCCTTGTTTGGCAACCAATCTAGAAAGACCGTTCGTGTGTTCGGCTAGCAACCTCCACCCTTTATTCTTTTACTTGCTATAGAAACCATAACATCGTCAAGTTTGCTAAGTTTTCGCCTCCATATTGCAGGAGTGGGAGTGTGTCATCTAAGGTACCCCTTTGCTTAGAGGTGCCTTTATGTTGGACTTAGAAGGTTTAAAAGTGATTTTCCATGCAGACAAATTTAATCAAGTCTTCAGACACTTCGGGAAGGAAACATTATCTTTCTTTCATGGTGGAACATACAGTACAATATTTGATGTATGAATTATACTTCTAAGAATTCATTTGATAATTAAATAAATTTGAAAGAGTTTTTGTTTTATTTTGTTTTGTAAATGAACAAATAATGTGTTTGGGTCACGACGGTCGGCCCGAGTTAAGATTAGGATAATTAGTGCAAGACCACGCCCTTCCTTTCCCATTGACCTCACCCTCATCCCTATATTACACTCGTGCCGCATTGACGTATTTTTAGAGATCAATATCAAGCTGTGTTCAACTCGAAACCAAACAAGTGTGTCGTTAGGTAGTGTCAAAGGTTAACTACGCTAATTAAAATTCTTCAGAAAGTAACGAAATCCTCGCCTGAGATGACTGTCTTTTATGAATAAATTAGCATTGCTACCATGGATTTTGTGGCTTTTAATACAATGAAATGAATTGACAAATATAATTTTGAAGCAGTCAGTCGGATATATATATATATATATATATATATATATATATATATATATATATAGAACAGATTTATATATATATATATATATATATATATATCAATTAATTTAATGAAAAAACAGACCACTTTTAAGGTAATGGTAAATTTAAAGAGGTCTGTTTTTTCATTAAATATTAGCTCTGGATTCACATTGAGCTCTCAGGATTTCATCCTCCTTGAATTACCCATTCGGTTTACCAAAAGAAACTTATATATATATATATATATATATATATATGAATAAATATACATAAACCTACGTAAATTTGGTAAATATTTATTTGCTTACCTGTGTATGCACACTAGCGTGGGTATATACGGTTGCTAATATCTAGTTATTTGATGTACCCACCTCTATACACACATACACCCATATATATATGTGTGTATGCATGTTTCTATCTATCTATCTATATATATATATATATATATATATATATATATATATATATATATATATATGTGTGTGTGTGTAAATATATTATTTTTCTGATATTGAGCGCTTTCTAATAAGTACCGTGTGATAATATAGTTTTAAGGTATATTTATAAGCGTATGTAAATATAAATATAAAAGTGAATATTGAAGTATTTTTCAGAGGCGATTATAAAGACATGTTTCATGCTGAAAGCAATTCGTCAGGCGGCCTGTCTTTTTTAATTTTCATAAACAGCCTGTTACCTCTGAGTGTTGACTTCAATGTTCTTCTTTTATAATTAACACTATATATTTGATATTGAGCACTTTATCCCATAAATATAGCACACCTTAAAACTATTTTTCTTGAATGTATATATATATGCAATTTTATATTTGACGATCATAAATTACGGTGAAACTCATGGTCACAAACTCACATTAATCCAAATAAATATATATATATATATATATATATATATTTATATTTATTTTTTTTTAAGGATTATGCCCCGAGCAAGGCGTGAAGCCACTAGGATGCAGGGGGTTGCAGAAGATTTGGAGCAAGAGCAGATAGGAGTGATAGAAGAAAGGATGAGGAGAAGGATAGTGGATAGATCAAGGTAACTGGAGATGTCGATTGACATTACATTTGAATAGTTGGAGATTATAGCTCTCAGGGAAACAGTAATTGGGAAGGGTGTTCCACAGGCGAGAGGTGCGAGGTATGAAGCTATTGGAGTAGAAGAGACGGCTACATTTAAAAAAGTTTCTACAGTGTAAGGGTGGGAGCGGGATGCCAGCCTCGTAGGGCGCTTGAATTCATGGAGTCTGGGAACCAGTGAAAGCAGCTCATCGGAGCAATTACCATGAAAGTATTTTAGAAAAAAACAGAGAGAGGCGACGGCGCGTCTGTGAGAGAGTGACTGTAGACGAGATGCCAGATCAGGGCCAATTATATTACATATCCGTCTCTGGATCTTGTCAAGAACTCCGAGGTAAACAGAAGGTGCCCCAGACCATATATGGCAGCAATACTCCATGCAAGGGCGAATGGTTGATTTGTATATTTGAAGTATCGATTCGGGGAGAAAAATTTCCTGGCGCGGCACAGAGAGCCAACTTTCCTCGCGGTGGAAGAAGCAATTGACTCAATGTATTTGTTCCATCTCAGGTCAGCAGTCAACATGAGACCGAGCAGACGCAGGGAGTTGCTCTCAAGAAGTTGACTATCAGACATTCTAATGGGGGGGCAGGGAAGGATCTCTATGGTGATTAATAGAGAGTAGTTTAGTTTTTGAGGCGTTAAAGTTGACCAGCCAATTCTTGCCCCAATTAACAACCGATTGGAGGTCCATTTCAAGACGCACGGCCAGGTTAGTTTTGTCACCGACACTAGATTTGTTTTTGAGGCAGGAGTAAATTGTAGTGTCGTCCGCGTAGATGCCAACTTGGGAATCTATGGCGTCAGGAAGGTCGTTGATGAAAATAAGGAATAGAGTGGGGCCAAGGATGGAGCCTTGGGGAACACCTGCGTTCGTGGGATAGGAACTGGAGGAGAATCCGTTGAGAACGACCTTCAATTCACGGTTTGACAGGAATGATTGTATTAGATCAAACAATCGACCTGTAATACCATAACCCTGGAGCTTACGAAGAAGGCCGGCATGCCAAACCCTATCAAACGCTTTGGAGATGTCTAGGGCCACGGCACGAGCCTCACCGTTATTTTGAAGGGCTTGGTAGACGGTTTCAGTGATGGCCGTAAGCACATCAGCTGTAGATCGGGCGTAGCGGAAACCATATTGCTTGTCTGAGAGCAGATCATGGGATGTAAGGTGGTTAACCACTTCGGCATTGATTAGGGCTTCGAAGATTTTGCCGAAGAGGGGTAGGAGACTAATAGGATGGTAATTAGAGGGGTCAGAGGGGTCTCCAGAGTTCTTAAAGACAGGAACAATGGATGAGGACTTCCAGCAGTCAGGAAAACAGGATTCCTTGAGGCAGTAATTATATAGTTTAGAGAGGGCGGGCGCTAGCTCAGGCGCGCATTTCTTCAAGACAATGGCTGGTATGCCATCTCCACCACTAGCCTTGTGGGGGTCTAAATTGGAGATAATGCCCAGTACCAATGACGGGGTTATGTGTAACCTGCTCAATAGGGCCTCAGTTCTTAGAGGGAAGTCTGGTATGGGTACACCGGAGGAGTCGAGCGTTGAATTAAATGAGAATTTCCGAGCAAAGCATTCAGCCTTGTCGGTAGAGGAGGTCAAGACCTCGAACTGGTTGAATAAAGGAGGTATGGAGGGTTTTCTATTGTTCAGGACACTCTTGCAGAGCCGCCAATAATCTTTGGAGCCAAATTTGCGAGATGCAATACGCTCCTTCATCTGAGCAGCAAATATTGACTTAGCTTCGTTGAGGACACGCTTACACTCGTTACGGGCGGAGGCAAAGAGACGTCTATTGCAGTCCGGCATGTCGCTACGAAATAGGTGAAAGAAGTGATTCCTATGGGCAATGGCGTCTGAGCAAGCAGCGGAGAACCAAGGGGAGGAGTGCGACTTGACCTTAAATTTCCTTGAGGGGATGAAAGCGTCGATTCCAGCTTTAACCCAGGATGAGACCTCAGAAGCACATTCTTAGACAGGGAGTGTAAAGACAACATCCCTGGGGACATCGCGGAGGAAGTCACGGA